CTTTGTTGTGTAAAGTAATGAGATTTAGGGAAATTTCTGAACAACTTAGAGGGAGAGGGAGAGGGAGAGGGAGAGAGAGAGGAGAGGAGAGAGGAGAGGAGAGAGAGAGAGAGAGAGAGAGAGAGAGAGAGAGAGAGAGAGAAGAGAGAGAGAGAGAGAAAGAGAGAGAGAGAGAGAGAGAGAGAGAGAGAGAGAGAGAGAGAAAGAGAGAGATTTCTTATGCAGTTCAAATAGTAAAGGACCACCATTTCTTCATTACAATATCTATTAATTACGAGTTATATCCTTGTGCACTCGGTTTAATCTGGCTTTTAGTACCTTCATAGTAATATTAATCTTAGTTTCATGTAAGAATAATACAAAATGCATGCAGTATTTAGATTTATAAAATTAGGGGGCACTGATAAAAAATAATGATTAACATGTAGAGTTGTCATATTGTATAACTGGGTAATAGGTTATAACTGGTATACAATATAGTTATGTGATCAATCTTCCCAAATACAAAATATGTCTCACGAGAACTACGCAGTCAAGAAATAGCAGTCTAATTTGCATACAACCGGGCTCCCTTAATAAGCATATCCCGGGCGAGGCTCTGCCTCGCAAAAAAAAAAAAAAAAAAAAAAAAAAAAAAAAATCGCATATACATATATATATATATATATATATATATATATATATATATATATATATATATAAATATATATATATATATATATGTATATATATATATATATATATATATATATATATATATATATATATATATACAGCCTCCGGGCTAGTACAGTGGTAACGTGTCGGCTTCTCATCCGAGGGGTCGGCGATTCGCAATCCGCCCAGGCGCAAGAAGTTGCAATTGTCGCCTGGAGGTTACTGCTGTGGCTGGGCACCACGGTGGGTAGGGACTAAGCTCATCCGAGTCAGCACCAGCTGACACACTGTTAGCGAGTCGGAATTAGTCGGCACAGGCCGGGCTCCCCTCATAGCCCGGGCGAGGCACAGCTTCGCATATCGGACTTATCCTTAAGACGCATATAGGCCGGGCCATAGCCGAAGGCCCGGGGGAAGCTAAAACTTAGCAAATAGCAATCGCATCAGACGCATAAGATTTTTTTTTTTTTTTTGTTTTTGTAGAAATACGATAGGTCTGATATTTGGACTGTTATTAAAAAAAGTTAATATCAGTGTGATAGCGGAAACTGCTATGTGAGGTGGGAATGCAGAGCCAAATTACCTTTAAATACTAAACAGTTTCTATTTATTCACTTCTATTTTTTGAACTTTGGGCAATAGACATAGAACTTTTTATACTATATAACACATAGTCGTCTATACAGACTTTCATATTACACAAATCCTGTAACTTAAGTACAAAGTGTTTAAATTTGCCTGTAAACATTTTCCTTATATTAGTAGAGATTTTGGAATCAACTAAAACGTATTTCCTCTTACTACTATCCAAGTATAATCGAACGGATGATTAAACGATGCACATCTAGTAGCCAAGGAAATACTAAATATATGAATACCATGCATATATTATGTGGTTAAATCGGGGATGTTAAACTCATGTCCAAATAATGGTGCTGGGAATGCTGAGGAAATGGAAAGATGACTTATTAGCCATAAATAACACATAACATAAATGGCAAGACACTGTAAAAATATGGTCATTATAATGGAAACTGCTGTATAATTGAGTAAAAAAATCCATAATTTATATTTCATATTTGTATAGTTCCGTTGACATTGCTAGCAATATGGCTATTATAAAGGAAACTGCGTACAACTATTGTGAATAAAATCATACGGTTTCATACCAAAGATGCATGCATATTGCCATCATTTAAAATCCAGATTTAAATTAACTTTACGTACAAGTATATGATATGAGACAATTTCCGGTAATATAATCCTGCAAACCAGGCTTTGTTGGCCCTCAAAACGGTAGCTGAAAATTGTCCCTCGAAGAGTATAAATAGAAGAAAAACTCAAAATGCGACAGTAACTTCGATTGCTTTGTGATGTGATAAACTCTTAAATTTACCTTTTCAATGACTATTGACTTAGAAAAAGCATAAGATAGAGTCCCTAGAGAAGAAGTTTGGAATTGCTTAAGACTAAAAGGAGTCCCAGAGAGCTACGTAAGATTAGTACAGGATATGTACCGTAATACGTCAACAGAAGTTAGATACCAGTCAGGGAAAAGCGAGAAATTTGAGGGAAAAGTAGGGGTTCGGCACTCAGTCCATGATTATTTGCAGTTGTCATGGATTGTCTGACAGAGGAAGTACGAAGGTATCACCATGGGATATCATGTATGCTGATGATGTGGTCATATGCACCCATGATAGAGAGACATACGAAGAGAAACTGGAGCAATGGACTCGAGCCCTTGAGAGACTTGGTATGAAAGTAAGCAGAACGAAGACGGAATACCTCAATGCCGGTAATGGGACGCAGAGAGTTGGAGGTATCAGCTTAGGAGGTGAAAGGGTACAACGAGTAGCGGAATTTAAATACCGAGGTTCAACAGTACAAGAAGATGGTGGATCAGAAGTGTCGAAAAGGATACAGGCAGGCTGGAACAGCTGGCGAAAGGTTACAGGGGTCCTTTGTGACCGAAGAGTTAGTGCAAAAGTGAAGGGCGGGATTTATAGAACTATTGTAAGACCTGCAGTCACGTATGACCTGGAAGCTACAGCACTCACTAAAGCCCAAGAACGAAAGTTGGAAGTAGCTGAAATGCGAATGCTGAGATAGTCGTTAGGCCTGACACGAAGAGAGAGAGTAAGGAACGAGTGTATCAGGGGAAGGTTAAGAGTACCAAGGTTGCAAGATAAACTACGTGAGGTACGGTTGAGGTGGTATGGACATGTACGAAGGAGAGGCGAAGAGTATGTGGGTAGAAGAGTGGAGAATATGAAGATCGGAAGAAGGAGACAAGGAAGACCGAAACGGAGGATGTATGACTGCTACCGCGAGGACATGAGGGAAGTCGGAGTCCGAGAGTGTGATGCACAAGACCGACGCAGCTGAAGACAGAAGATCCGTACCGGTGACCCATGATGACCTTGGAAAAAAACAGTTGAAGAAGAAGAATGATTATGGGGAGAAGTCTCTATTCAATTAGTTAATTATCTGTTCTTTATTCCCTTTCAGACGCGTCTCCGGTTATTAGCGACCTGAAATCCACACCAGGACGCAGAGGAGCCTTTGTAAAATGGGAACTACTTGGGAAGTGCTCAAGGGTGACGTCCTTTCACCTGGTTTGGATGCCTTCAGACGCCGGTGGAGAAGTAATAGTTTCAGACACATTTGCCAATATAACGGGCTTGTCTCCCTGCCAGGAGTATCTACTCAGGGTGCAGCCACTGGAGGGGCGAGATGACTTGGGAGGACAAGAGAGTGTAGCACTGTTCACAGAATCTGAAGGTATTGTAGCTATCTGTAGTTTTTATCTCTGTCTGTGTCTTTATATTGCTATATATGTCGACCTATATATCTATCGGTATATATATACTTACCGGAAAAAGTTACATTACATATGCACACACACACAAATACATTCATAAGAAATAAAATATATTATTTCTGAATAGTTGCTGCCAATATGTCGGGGAAAAGTTTGATATAATAGAAAAGTTTATGATTCTTCTAGATTACTATCCCCCGACATGACCTTGAAATTAAATATTTGTTCTAAAAAAAAGAAAAAAAAATCGGGGTGTTGAGTTTGTAGGAAACTCAGAGAAAAAGCCTCTAAATTGATTTCCTAAAGATTTAATGTGAATATCTTGAGTTTGATCGTAGACTGACATAATTTTATACCTCTGTTGACCGTGTGTACTAAAGATAGATCAGTCATAACATAACTTCTCAATTTTATCAAATTCCTTTCCTTGTATAATCATATAAAAGCAATCAGCATATTACATTGCGTTCTTTGATTTTAACTCTATATCCTCCCATCCCCTAGTGATTATAGATCAATGATAACAAAAACAGATATATTAACAAAAGGAAGAGACAGTCAACCCCTAGCATTTTATCAATGCTGTAACTGCTTTGTTGAGCCAAGCCAATTCAAAAAGCACAGGTGGCCTAGTAATACTACCATGGCTTTAGTAAGCTATAATCTGTTATACATATAAACACAAATATGTATATATATATAATATATGTATGTGTGTGTCTACATCGTTTATTTGCGCTCATCAATATATTCAAAAATATCTTCTATTGTATGCAGATATGGTTTTCTTGGAGAAAATAATCTATTACGCTAGGACTACACGTATAAATACATATTTATAGGGAAAAAACATGATTAATGAAAGTGATATGACCCTTGCTGAAGTGCCGGGCCGATTTCTGATAACTGATTAATGAATAGCAACAAAGTAAAGAATATGTGCTTATTCTTATAGTAAAACGTACAAAAGGCCTAGGTACAGAAATAAACATGAAAATTGAGGGCCATGGCTGTCGCTTTTTGTGTAGCTATTGTAAAGTTTTTACTAGCCCAGGTTGGCATAAATCAGAGGAGTCATATATATTGCATATATGTAAGGTTTTACATAGGCGAAACCAAACCGGTATAGCTTTTGAGAAAGGTATTAATGAACATAAACGTGATGTCAGATATGCCAGAGAATCAAATGCAGGTTTCGTTCATTTGTGTGATGGTCACCAGCTTAACCGGAAAAGGGCTAAATAATAATAATAAATCAGCAAATTCGTATGAAAGAAAAATGTTAGAATCTAATTTGCTTAATTTTGACTTGAGTGCTGGTCAATGATGGATGACCTTACCTCCTCGTTAGTTAGCAAAGCCTTCCCTAGACTCTTCGGTCTTGACTCTCCTCCTGAGACCTGATTCAGCTCTTGTTCGTTCTGTCTCTCCTTGTATCTTTTTCTGCGGTTTGACCACTGCAGAAGGTATTCATTTAATAATATGTCTAGGTCTATTTTTATGTTTACTTCTATTACTAACCCATCAACAAACATTTCTTACCGTCTACCATATCTTTAAAATATTTACCCATAGTAAGGCAACTTTCGGAAGAAAGTGTGCCAGTGATGGTTAATGTTTTCATGAAGCATTGCACATACAGTTAAATCATTTGAATATTACATCAGTTACTCCACGGGCTAAATAGAGATTATGATAATCATAGAGATGGATAGTATTTATAGCCATTGTGATAGTTATACAAATAATAGTAGCAGTAACAGTAGTATTAGTCTCAGCAATGGTGTAAAGTAGCAATAATAGTTATAGTATTACAACTAGTAATAACAATTATGGTAACAATCTCCAAATTTAATGCTTTCTTAAAATCTCAGCACCACAAGCTCCGTCCAGCATAGCAGTACTTATGGTGGAAAACGAGCCAAACCATCTGGGTGTGACCTGGACCCAACCTGCACCTCCTGGACCCCTGTGTAACATTACTAAGAACAGTGTTCGTTGGTTTCAAAGTGAGACAGGGGAAACAGTTGGCCAAGTGGAAATTACTGCGAACACCGCATACTTCATAACTGGCCTTAAGGCCTACACAAATTATACGATATGCGTTGCTTCTAGAACAGAGGGAGGCTTTAGTCCAGAAAGGAATGGATATAACACCACTGATCAAGACAGTATGTGCTATTCATAATTTTGACCTCTTTTTATATCTTTGTAATTCTTGCAATGTATAAATATGTGCTTGAAAAATTCCTATGTATATCCAATAATATCTTAGAGAAAACTTATCTATTTTAGTTCCCGGTCCTCCAATAATATGTTCACTGGAAGTCGTAAGTCCTTCGTCCCTGCGGGTTACATGGGAACGACCACCTCAACCGAATGGTATCATCACGGGATACAAGACTGAATGGAGACATGAAAATCAAAATTATTCTGCATATGTGAATAACAACGAAACCTATTACATAATAGCAAATTTAACAGCTTGTGTCTTCCACGAAATAACTGTTATGGCCGAGACAATTAAAGGTTTTGGAGAAAGAAGTTCCGAAAATACAACAATGGAAGTAGGTAAGGATCACTAGCATCTGGTGTATGGGCTAACCATATCATTTTGAATATATATTTTATATGCTTAATCATATATATGTTTAATTTCTGATGCATTCTTATATAGAACTTAATTAGAAATACAACTTCCCAGCCCCAGGAGCCCCAGGACAAGTTGATGCTGTCATGGTGGCCAACATCTCAGACCAACTTTGGGTAACATGGAGCCAGCCTAATCCATATGGAAACTGTACCATTATTAACAACAAGATCACGTGGGTATGGCAGAGCATGGGGGAATATAAGAAAAACGATACGACCATACCAAAATCCTCCAATTATACTATCACCGGCCTGAGACCTTACACCATGTACAATGTATGCGTAGCAGCTCAGACAGAGGGAGGATTCGGCCCACACGGAGAATGTGACAGTGTTTGCACCGAAGAAGACAGTGAGTATTTGGGGATGTTACTGGCTTAGGTACGTAAGACATCTAATTACTCCAGTACAGGTACCTAATCGTGATTCAGATGTAAAAGTTGTATGTCACTGTGTTAAATACATCCTGTTTTTTATTTGATTTTAGACAAGATCATCAGGACTTGTCCACCATTTTACCGTCATCGTTCAAATGACAAATTGTTCATTATCATTTTAGTGGATATGAAATTTGAATTTAGGGTATTTATCAAAGTTTCTCTCCCCCCCCTCTCTCTCCCTCCCTCCCCTCCTCCCTCTCTCTCAAACAAATTGAACAGTCTAATACGATCGACATATCCGCAGCCCCTGGTCCTCCTGAGGTGATCGACATAGTGCAATCGTCCAACGAAATCTATCTAGTGTGGCAATCCCCTGATGAACCTAATGGAATAATACTGCTTTATAACTTGAGTTGGACGAATGTGGCCGAGAGCAATGATAAGGGTTTAGTTACATTACCTGCAAACCAAACAAGTTATAAGATCAAGGGCCTACAGAGTGAATCTGTGTACTCTGTATTAATATTGGTAAGTGTTAAATCTATCTGGAAAATAAAATATATATATTAATCTATGTATGTGTGTGCGTGCGTGTATGTGTGTGTGTGTGTTGTATGCGCGCACGTGCGTACGTGCGTTCGTGCGTGCAAGCATATAGTGACTGATAGTTGACATGTTTTGTTAGGCTAAGACTTCTGCTGGTTGGGGCACCGTATTGGAACAGAAGGTTTCGACCAAGAAGAAGATAACGTGGCCTTACTGGTTAGCAGGCGAGACTCTATTGGCTATCTTGGCAGTATTTGTTTGGCGAAGACTGAGAGGGTAAGATTATGTTTCATAAGTTAAAGTAATAGACTTATTGATTCCAAAATTCCATAATATAAACTAATTGTATAAACAAATATATAAATATATATATATATGTATATATGTTATATATATAAACATGTAAACGTATATATACATATATATGTATGTATGTATGTATATATATAATATGCACACACACACAAAAACAACAACAGACATACATATATACATTGTATATATATGTATGTATATGCATATACACAAATATATATATACATATATATAGTATATATATTATATATCACTCCCCCCCCTCTCTCTCTCCCTCTTTGATAGTATGCAGTTTGTATTGATTAATTTCTTTCATATTTCTACAGGAACTCAAGACATGATGTAAGTCAACCTAAGGTATAGGTCTTAATTATATTATTGACATATATGAATGAAGTTATACTCTTAGAAATAAGTATATTTGCAAAGAGAATAAATTGTTTTATTAAAAAAAATGGAGTCTTAAGGGCAAACTGTTGTATACATTGTACATTCTACATATCTGTCTTCAAATTGTAGAGATTATCGTGTGTAAAAGTCCGATGCAGAGGATGATTGTGATTTGCCAAAATGTAATGTATATTTTTTTCATTATTTTACTGAAATAGGATTTATCATAGCAGGCAAATTTATGCATAAAGCCCAAAGATAATACATTAAATTCTCATCTATTCTGATCGTGTACTTGTGTGCACACTGCCCCCCTCTCTCTCATTCTCCTCCTTCAGTTATTTAGGAGCTCTTGTCACCTCAGATGCTCGTTAAAATCTTTGTCTGGTCGACTCTCCTATATGGCTGCGAGACCTGGACAGTAATGACTGAAACTTGGCGTAATATAGAGGCCGCTTAAATGTGGTTCTACGGAAGGAAGTTGCTCACCATTTACACCGACCGAGTGTCTAACGAGGACAGGGACGCGAATTTCTAGAATTGATCCGAGTACAACTCATATTGCTTTGACATGGTAGGCCGAGAATAACATCTCAATATAGAAACACTTCGATGTGTGTGTGTGTGTGCATGTATGTATGCATGTATATATATAAATACACACCTGTCTATCTATCTATCTATCTATATGTATGTGTATGTATATTACACATATATATATATATATACACACACATATATACGTATATATATACACATATATATGTAAATATGCACGCACGCGCACGCGCGCGCACACACACACACACACACACACACACACACACACACACACACACACACACACACACACACACACACACACACACACACATACCCTTTTCTCCTCTCAACACGGCTCTCATATCTTAGAAAATGGACAGAAGAATGGGTTAGAGACGAGAAAGAAAAGGAAAGCGGGAAGAAGAGGGCGCGCTCACATGATCGGGCATGTACAGTGCATGAGGAGAATAGGTTGTAGATTGTAGAATGTACACAAAAAATGCCCTCGTGTGACAGATTTTTCAGAAATGTGACATTTTCTTCTGTTTCGTTAATATGCTGTCATCATTATCGTCATTCCAGGCCGATTCCTTCCAAAATGAGGCATTTATACCTGACGAAGGTTCTGATAATCATCGTGAGTATTTTTTTCAGCAGAATATCAATCTGTTTGAATAACGTCGCTGAATTGTTTATATATATATACAGATATATATGATATATACATATATATACATATATATATGTATATACACATACATATATACTGCATATATATATGTATATATTCATGTGTACATATATATATACATATATGTATGTATGTGTATATATACATATATGTATGTATGTATATATATACATATATTCATGTATATATATATCATGTATACATTCATACATATACATATACATATATATATATATATATATATATATATATATATATCATGTATACATTTATACATATACATATACATATATATATATATATATATATATATATATATATATATATATATATATATATATTTTTTTTTTTTTTTTTATGTGTATATTTATCATCATCAAGGGGCTAACGCCGACGAGGGCGCATGGCTGTATCCATCCTTCGTCTCTTATAGCAAGTCTTCAGGCAGGCCCTTGGCCCATCTTTAGCTGGGCGAGCTGCCCAAGCCATGACCTCCTAGGTCATCCCACGGACCTCCTCTGCCCCGGATTGTCTCGCAATGTGATGAAACAATGTGATGGGCAGGGTCATCCACAGGGAAACAAGCTAGGTGCCCATATACCCTGAGTTGGCACTCAGGATTAGGCAAATGACAAGTTCCATGCCAGTCTCACGGTATAGCCGTCAGTTGGACACATGGTTCTGATCCGGCGTAGGAGCTTGTTACAGAAGGCATCAGCGAGAGTCCAAGGCACTAGATAGCGGCAAGGTTTTGCTACCATAAAGCAAAACTCTCAGTATCAAGGCATTGAAGACATGTAGCTTGGTCCTTCTGCATGGGTACCGACATCTCCAAATGCTCTTGTTGATTGAGTTCATGGCTCCTGCTGCCAGACCAATTTATCTACTGACTTCTTGGTCTGGCAACCCAGAGACATGCAAAGCTCTCTGTGACTTCAACGTCCTCACTGCAAGCATGTATCGACTGAATGAATTCCCCCAACAGGCCTCCAAAGTCCTGAATCTTGGTCTTGGTCTAGGGGATCTCTAGGCCAACGGGCTTCGCCTCATTGCTCAATGCATTACGAGTCACCACCAGTGATTCCAGAGACTCAGATAGGATAGCTACATCGTCGGCAAAGTCAAGGTCTGTAACCTTGATATTACCCAGTGTTGGTCCACACTGACTTTGGATAGAAGCTCTGCCCATTATCCAATCCATGCAGGAGTTGATAAGTGTTGGTACAAAGACACAGCCTTGCCTAATCCCTGAATTGCCCGGGAAGAAGTTTGATAGGCCCATCACACTTTACAGCACTTTCAGTACTGGTATATAGGCTTGCTATTGGGGCAATAATTTGTATCGAAATTTCCCCTAAGTCTCATGATCTCCCTTAGTAATTCTCGATATACCGAGTCAAACGCCCTCTTGAGATCGATGTATGACGACGGCGTCCCACAATCACTCGAAGTGCTAGGATATGGTCCATTGTGGACTTGCCTGGAGTGAATCCAGACTGCTCCGGTCTCTGGTGCCTAAGTAGGTGGTCGGCGGATCAGTTTCATTAAAATGTGGGCAAAAACCTTGCCTGGTATACTGAGAAAAGTGATATCTCAGTAGTTGTTACAGTCCCAAATAATACCCTTTCCCTCTCCAGAGAGGGATGACCATGCCCCTCAACAATCAGGGGGAGTGTAACCAGACTTCCAGATGGCAGTCAAGACTGCATGCCATACGTTCACCCCAAGCCTTTAGCAGTTCAGTTCAGCAGTAATATCACATATACCTGTGGCTTTCCCAGCCCTTATCTTAGAAATTGCCATTCTAACCTCAGTTAGGGTAGGAGGTTTCTTGCTGATGGGTGGGTCTGGCACAAGTATTATGATACCACTTACATCTAAAGTAACTGATGGAGGGTCTACCTGGTACAGCACCTCAAAATACTCAAAATACATAACCTGAGATGATCTGTCCATCCACTAAGTGGACTGCAGTCATCTGCAGAGATCTTGGAGCATCAAGAGGACCCAGAGGTATGGAGTCATGGCCCACTGGTGTGTGGACAGTCTCAGTCCTCCTGGGGTAAATGGGTGGTTTGAGGGAGGTGGGCCTTACCAGTCCTCCCCCCAGGAAACTCACCACATACATGCATACATTGGTTCTTGTTAATGACTCGAGTTGTTCAAAAAGTCAGAGTATACTGTGTTATTAACAATACTTCTAAACTGTAAATTCCTTCTGTGCCTAGTGTACATGTTTTGTAATTAAGGTCAAAATCACATTTCTGGATTTCTTTACCGAATTTTCAGTAAGCACTATATGTCAGATTTCATATACAGACACAGATTTTATGTATGTGATACAGTGACACACATAATTATTTATAGGTTTAGACCATCCTGACTTGCCATGAGTATCTAGATGTGATGATACTACAGTCAGAACTTATCTGTGCTGCTCATCAAAGTGGTGCCAGTTTTCCTTGTCCTTTTTGCATTAGTGATAGATATTTTGAAGAGATTTTGTTCTAAACAAATAATCCGTAAACATTAACACATCTGTGTATGAATTTACTCAAGAATTAGTTATATATGGTAAAATGTAAACAAGTAGCACAAAAAGCATTTTATGGAAAAATAATTATATTTTAAACTTACTGAAGTGAACAAAAATAACACATATTTCTTCCCTTTCTAGACATGATTCAAGTTGAGGACAGAGAAGAAAATGACCATGATGTGGACCATGAAGAAATCACAATGAGCGAATCTACTTCAGAAGGGAATGACACAAGCAGCAATGGTACTTATAGGGAATCCAGAGATGAGGGTAAGCAATATGAGAAGACTGATGGCTATATGGCATGGGTATCACTGTTGATTGTATAGCAAGATCAAACTCATTTGGTTTAAAGAATCTGGTTAGAGCATGTCGGCTCCATGATTCAACTGTTCTGAGAGGTGTTCTCATTACACTGGACATATAATACTTGATAACTTTTTGTGTAACAGGCATAAACGAAGGTTCGTAGAATAACTAACTGCCCATTTCTGCTATGGGTATGGATCAACATGACTGTGTGACCCCTAAAATTGGTGATGTAATTGCTGAAACTGCTAATGAGGATCATAATGAAGATGCAGTTGACAGCGAATCGAGTTCAAAAAGAAATAGAAACAGTTAATGTGTCTCCCTTGCAAAATCTTGCCATCATAACCCCCTAGGGAATTTCAGTGGGGATATATCAGGACTCTATGTATACATGTATATGTATATCTATCTATCTATGTCTATCTATCTATCTACACACACACACACACACATATATGTAACTGAATTGGAGCAGCAGGAGACACTAGAGGTACAGAGTTATGGCCTGCCGGACAGCCCTCCAGCCCGCCAGGTTTAATGGGTGGAGAAGGGCCTTGCCAGCCCATATGCCCAAAGAAAAAAATACTAACAGTTCAATTGTACATGGTAATGCAAGGGGAGGGTTACTGCCCCTCTCACAAAGTGAGCTGGGCTGTGGGTCCTATCGGGAAGGTGCTGCTGGGGTGCAGGATGGGATTGATGGTTACTTGTCCTGCATGTATCCCATACCACCAACCTGGTATGAGGCCTGTGGGGCAGAACCCAAGGGAATCTCACAGGTTGACATTGGCCCCCACAGCCCACTGCCTCCCTTTACACGAGGGCAACATCGACCAGGGTGGCAAAGGTGGGATCCACCCAGAGTGACTGCCTGAGGTTTACCTCAGGAAGGATGTACTGGTAAGAGCATGGAAAATCCGGTCTTTGTGACAGGGTGATCGATTACCAAGGTACCGAAGCAGCTAAGAGTTAAGGTGGCTGCCTTCTCGGAGGTGGATAGACCTGGTAGTGATGCGATCAGTGTAGGTAGGTAGATACTGGTTGGGTTGGAGCAACTGTCGTCAGTGATACAGTCGCCATCCGGTTGAGACTGAGCTCACTACAAGATATCTATTGGTTCCCATGGCTCAAGGGCTGATCCGAGCATGAAAATAGCCTTTGCTTTGCTTGGTCCCAGAGATTGAGGATTTTGATATTTAAAATTCCTTTCGACCTTGTCCTTCCCTCTTTTCCTTATCCCTTCCTTTCCTCCTTATCTTAAACACATGTGTATACAAGCATGTACAATGTATACTTGCATGTATAGTAAATACACGTGTATAAGATCAGGAGGAAAAGAAGGGATAAAGAGGAAAGAGAAAGAAAGGAGAAATGAGAATACTAAGGAGGGAAGGGAAGAAAGTGAGGGATAAGAAGAAGGATTAAGAAAGAAAATGGGAATAAGGAGGGAAAGCCTTTAGCAGTTCAGTTCAGCAGTAATATCACATATACCTGTGGCTTTCCCAGCCCTTAGCTTAGAAATTGCCATTCTAACCTCAGTTAGGGTAGGAGGTTTCTTGCTGATGGGTGGGTCTGGCACAAGTATTATGATACCACTTACATTTAAAGTAACTGATGGAGGGTCTACCTGGTACAGCACCTCAAAATACTCAAAATACATAACCTGAGATGTTCTGTCCATCCACTAAGTGGACTGCAGTCATCTGCAGAGATCTTGGAGCATCAAGAGGACCCAGAGGTATGGAGTCATGGCCCACTGGTGTGTGGACAGTCTCAGTCCCCCTGGGGTAAATGGGTGGTTTGAGGGAGGTGGGCCTTACCAGTCCTCCCCCCAGGAAACTCACCACATACATGCATACATTGGTTCTTGTTAATGACTCGAGTTGTTCAAAATGTCAGAGTATACTATGTTATTAACAATACTTCTAAACTGTAAATTCCTTCTGTGCCTAGTGT